ACACAGTAAATGATGGATAAATGTTAGCTTTTTAAAAAATGGCATCTTCAGGGCATCTGGGTGGCTCAGTCACCCTTAACTTTAAATCACTTAACTAAGTGTCTGACTTCAGGTTAGGTCATGGTCTCATGGTTCTTGAGTTCACGCCCCACATTGGGCTGTCTGCTATCAGTGCAGAGCCTGCTTCAGATCTTCTGTCCCTCTGTCTCTTCCCCTCCTCCTACTCACTCACTCTCTCTCAAAAATAAACATTTTTAAAAATGGCATCTTCTTGGGGTGTCTGGGTGGTGCTTAGTCCATTAAGTGTCCAACTCATGATTTGGGCTCAGGTCATGATCTCAAAGCCCCACATTGGGCCTGTGCTGGGCATGGAGGCTGAGATTCTCTCTCTCCTTCTCCCTCCCCTCCTCATGCTTGCTCTCTCTCTCTCTCTCTCTCTCTCTCTCTCTCAAAAATAAAATATTTTTTAAAGTGGCATCTTCTTGGGGTGCCTACATAGCTCAGTTGGTTAAGCATCCGACTGTTGATCTCAGCTCAGGTCTTGATCACAGGGTCATGAGTTCAAGCCCCATGTTGGGCTCCACACTGGGCCTGAAGACTACTTTAACATAAATAAATAATATATAATAACAAATGGCATCTTCCAAACAGCAAAATACTAGTTACCCCAAAATCTTAAGTTCCAAATAATATTGAGTACCTATTCATTCAGCCTTTATGATGAAGCTACACCACTCCTTTTTAAATGAGTGCCTAGGGTGGATGCCTGGATGGCTCAGTTGGTTCTGACTCTTAATTTTGGCTCAGGTCACGATCTCACAGTTTGTGGTTTCAAGCCCTGGTGTCGGACTCCATGCCGGCAGTGCGGAGCCTGCTTAAGATTCTCTCTTTTCTCTTTGTCCCTCCCCCGCTCATGCTCTCACATCCTCTCTCAAAATAAATAAGGAAATAAATAAAAAACAAAATTAAAAAAATAAAACCAGTGCCTAGAATGTGTTACAACGAACTAATCTATACTTAGAGTGTCTGACAAAGAAACAGTAGAGGGAGAAAAGGAGGCTAAATAATGGACTAGTTAAAAGTCTTTCACTGTGCACATTCCATCCTGGTATTGAAGAGTCAAATGGTCTAAGAAAGTGTGTTCAGATATCATAGATACATGGGTTGCAGAAATGGAAAACTGTGGAATTTTCACTCACAGTCTACACTGAACAATACAGGAGCAATTCATCTGTTTTCCAAAAGACCTTTACCCATCTAATCTCACTTAAGTGGAAAGGAGGTTAAAATAAATACCTCAGAAGATCACTGTCCTCTGTCATCATATGTCATCAAATGCTGGCCTCTGAAGTCAGTTTGAGAATCTAGTACATAAGCAAATAAATCCTTTAGAGAAGAAACAAAGCTATCAGTAAGTCAACCAAAAATATTTTATCCCTTTTTGTAATTTAAATTCTTTTCCTTAATAATTTGGTAAATATTAAGACTAGGGGAACATTGCCTTTTGGCATTACATTTGATACAAGCAGAAATTAATCTTGATAAGTTCATTTTTTAACTTCATTTTGACAAAAAAGGATGTATAACTATTTTTCTGCATAGCTATGGAACTAAGCCTGACCACATTTCTGATAGTTTTTGGTAGGACTTCTTGCCAATGTACTGAGGTTGCATGTGGACAGAAGACATAACTTACAGATCCTGTAAGGCATCCTCATTCCACTTGACAAGCGTCCCTTTTCCCTCTTGAGATTAGGCAGTGGCAGTTCTACCTTGTGGGAAATGCAATTTCTTTTCTAAGTGGCCTGCCCAAGTCAGATAGGGGGAAAAGGAAGAGATAAGGGCATTTCCCACATGATTGACGTGGTTAAATGTGTCCCAGAGAGGCCAAAGTGATTTTTTTAAGAGGGTAGATTTGAGAGCTGTGCTACTTGGGCTGTTTCCGATGCCTTCACATAGTAAGCCCTATGGGGTTTTTGTTTTGTTTTGTTAAAGCAATTCCTTTAGCCATGGGAAGAAAGGACAGACATCTGGGCTGTTGCATAGATGAATTTTTATTCTGGAAAGAATTTCAAATTCCATCATTTTTTAACTTTTCAATTTGGACTTTGAGGAATTATAGAGTGCAAAAGACTATCATGTTTTTTAGTCAGTTAGCACTTCAACATGAAATGCATTTAAATCAATTTAAATTTACCTTTAAGAACAAGGACCTGAAAAATAAGCTTTTTCATTTCAAGTCATGTAGTAATGAGGTAGTATTTTTCTAAATGTCATTTACTATCAGAAATTTGACTTTTCCATTACTACCATTTATCACATTGTCCCCTTCCTCTGTGGTCATATTCTTTCATGCCAGTTTGCTTATTCAAACAGTAATTACCTAAAATATCAGCTTTTTCAGCCTTGCAGCCCAGATGTGATAACATCTATAGTCCCCCCCCCCCAACACACACACACACACACACACACACACAGAATAAGTGGTAGTCCCAAAAGTGAATTCCCCCTCCCCCGCCAAATTTTTTTTATCAATGGAAGACAAGGCCAAGCTAAAAACAACAACAACCAAAAAAAAAAAAAAAAAAAAGAAAGAAAGAAAAGAAATAGGGCTACATTGTGTGGAGGCCTCAGGGATGTGGTGTGTTATGGTTCTATTACCATGACTAGGCAGTTTAGTTATTGAAGTGCAAAGTGTGCATGCATTTAAGGGAATATTGCCTTTATATTGCTTTTAAAGATTATGCTTTGGAATTCTTTATAAAATTTTCTGCAGTGAGTATGCATTTGTGGCCAGAAATAAAATACAATTCTTTTTGAGAGATTGGTGATGTTAGTGAAAAATTATCCAACTTCCCCACTCTCTAAATCCTCTGCTTTATTCAAAGAGTCCCTTCCTTCTGTGACTGGCAGGGCCAATATGTCTATCATAGGTAGGAAATGCCAGCACAAACTGGTACCATGAGCCTGCTGATTAGGGGTTTCTTATAGAAGCCAAGAGCTTTCCATACTAGCACCTAAGTGTTTAACCTTTATCCTTATAGAATTGTGTGTATGAGTTTAAAAAACAAAATAATGCTAAGTTGATTTACTTTCTCTGGTTTGTCTAGCCAGGCTTCAACTTCTATAATATGTAATACTAGATAGGCCTAACCTCTGAACTCTGATCTCTTTAGTAAGCTAAAGATTGTTTTAGTCACTATGCCCTGGCTCTTCCCTCTCTTTTTTTTTTTTTAAGTTTTTATTTATTTTGAGAGAGAGAGAGAGCACAAGTTAGGGAGTGGCAGAGAGAGAGGGAGAGAGAAAGAATCCCAAGCAGGCTCCACACTGTCCAGATGCAGAGCCCGATGCAGGGCTCGAACTCACAAACCATGAGATCATGACCTGAGCTGAAGGTGGATGCTTAACCGATTAAGCCACCCAGGTGCCCCTGGCTCTTCCCTCTCAATTATTTCATGGAATTAATATTAGAAAACACAGGAAATGTGATGTATTTATAAAGCCACCATTAAAAACCATGTTTTCCCAGGAATAGGTAATGTTTGAATAGTACTCATAATGTTTATAACATTAAATGGATAAACAGTGTATCAAGCAAAATATGAAGTGTGATACTGCTAAAGTTGGTTTATATAAGTTTATTAGAAGACTTAGAAGAAAATCACCCAACATTGCAAATGGTAATGCCTATAGCCTATTTTGTCACTTCTTTTATACTTTTTTCCCATATTTTTCAGAGTAAAATATGTATTAATTTCATATAATATGTAAAACTTTATTCATTTAAAAAAAACTCTTAAAGAGAAATAAAGGAAAGCAGCAGGAGGAGGCCTCTCGGGAGGCCAGGGAGAAATCAGTGTCACTTTGGAAAGTAATGCCAGTCCTTGTTTCTGTAAAGAAGATTACTGAGCTCCTTTATTCATTAGGTGGGTTAGAGGTGTCCTGTACATGAAAAATGCCAGCCTAGTGACATGTAACAGGTGCAGACCTCTGCCTTTTAAGCCCTGGGAACATTTTGAGAATTGCCAGCATTTTGGTGGAGCTTTGCAACTCTCACAGCTGCTATGTATCAAGCAGGTGCTGCTCTAACATTTCCTTGTTCTGAGATGTGAGATCTGGCCCAACTCTTCCTAAACGCGCCAGGCTTTGACCAACTACCAAGTACCTGACCAGAGTATTGTCATGAGAGCTGTCAAATGAAATTCTGGGGTAGAAGTCATCTGTCATGTGCTTCCAAGTGGAATCAAGGGATAGTTATTCATCCAGGGTAAAGGGAATATCAAAAAAAAAAAAAAAAAAAAAAGTGCAGGACTGTTTTTCAAGATAAACATCACACCAGTGTTACAACTGAGAGAATTTCAGAGAGGCCTTGGCTGTGAGTCAGGTGTTTGGTGTTATATAAGAATTTATCAATCACTGTTTAAAAAGAATATTGGATACCTCTGTGAAATGAATGAGGGGCGCTTAAGCCAGGATGAGGCAGATTTAGTAATGAGTTCACTCATCACATCTCATGGCCAAGAAAAACTTGCACCTTCTCCAGCGACAGAATTTTTCTTCCATTCCGGGAGGTGAAGGAACACATGAAGTATATGCTGTCCAGGCTTTCAGTGAGCAAATTTCGCTAGCATTTTTTTTTTTTGTAACCTCTTATAAATGGGAAGAGAAATCATGAGGTAACTGGAGTCTTTCTGTATCATGAATGTCATCATGGTAAAAACAAGTTAGTCCTGTGTTTAATCCCCTGCCTAAGTACAGAACTCTCAGTTTCATCTTGATAGACTAAGCCAGCATTCCCTACCTGTCTCCCAAAAGGGGGTTTAGATGTGACAGTGTAAATGTGCAAGTGTGTGGAACTGTATCTTTTTATAATCCTGAAGATTTCAGTGGTGGTTAGAGCAGTTTGAGTCTTTGGCCACTTTTCTTTGACTTGGAAGACAAAGATATTTGAACTTCTTGTTTCAGACTGACCTTGACTTTCCTCAATTTTTTCACTTCAGATCATCCAGCCCCTCTTAGAACTTGACCAGAATAGAAGCAAATTAAAGTTGTATATTGGACACCTGACAGCCCTCTGCCATGACCGAGACCCCCTGATTCTTCGTGGACTCACTCCACCAGCTTCCTATAACTTGGACGATGACCAGGCAGCTTGGGAGAATGAGCTGCAGAAGATGACCCAGGAGCAGGTAAGTCTCTCACTTGAACTTTGACAAGACACTGTTAAAATTCAGCTGCTATTTAGATTGATGCAGTAGGAGCTACCTTTGGAAACTCAGTGTCCAGATTCAGGATTCTTAGCAAAGGGTAGTTCTTCAACAGATAATAGGAATTACCATTTGCAAAAGTACCACTTTATTCTTCCCTCAGTGTGACTTGCTCAAGTATCAAAAAGGGCTGCTTAGCACTCTCAACAATAGCCAAATTATGGAAAGAGCCTAAATGTCCATCAACTGATGAATGGATAAAGAAATTGTGGTTTATATACACAATGGAGTACTACATGGCAATGAGAAAGAATGAAATATGGCCCTTTGTAGCAATGTAGATGGAACTGGAGAGTGTTATGCTAAGTGAAATAAGCCATAGAGAGAAAGACAGATACCACGTTTTCACTCTTATATGGATCCTGAGAAACTTAACAGAAACCCATGGGGGAGGGGAAGAAAAAAAAAAAGAGGTTAGAGTGGGAGAGAGCCAAAGCATAAGAGACCCTTAAAAACTGAGAACAAACTGAGGGTTGATGGCGGGTGGGAGGGAGTGGAGGGTGGGTGATGGGTATTGAGGAGGGCATCTTTTGGGATGAGCACTGGGTGTTGTATGGAAACCAATTTGACAATAAATTTCACATATTGGGGGGAAGAAAAGGGCTCCTTAGAAAGGAGAGGGTTAAGGACAGTCTGCTCATATGCCATGTGTTGTTTCATAGAAGCGATGACCACTGATAATTATGGGTACTGAAGGAAAATCTGAGTTAAGGATACTTGGATAAAGGATTCTTGACAAGTCAGTAGCATATATCTTCAGTTGTCTCTAGGGAACAGTGGGTTACAACACACTTAAGTTTTTAAGTAAAAGAACCATTCGATGAATTAGTTAATGTTGCTTCCCATGCTACATTTTCTGCCTCCTGTTGCCTGTAAAATACCCAGTGATTCTCTTTTATTCATATTGTGATTTTATTTTATTTTTTGTTCTTTTGTTTAATAGAGAAAGGCTATTCTGGACAGAAAAACTGTGAATAAAAGAAACATAAAAATGAATGAGGAGAGCTATAGAGAGCAGACATAGAAAGTGAAGGAAAGAAAAGTTGAATAAATACAGAGAAAGAGAACAGTTTTTAAAACATTAAGTCTTAAGCTCCTTTTGTTCCTAGTTTATAGATGGGGTTGATGATATCCCTAACTAGGCTATAATCATACTAACCAAGAGACTTAACTGCACTGGTGGTGTAAATTTACTAAAATTCTGCAGAATTTTGAAGCGGTATGCTGTTGTCCAGCTAAATCCTTGCTATTTGTTAAGCACTATTTGTTCACTTACAATGTGTGAAGGAAAATTGTGTTAAATACAGATACTTCCATGGTATAATGTTAAAGACAGCAGTATTAACCCACAGATCAAGAAATGCAGACTGGAGTTGTAGAGCCGTACTTACTTACCCCTGATATGGATATTGCCTCATAGAACACATATTTAACAGCCTAATTAGTTATCTACCTCACTTATTTAATTAGTAAAAAGGTAAGGCCTGTCTCTCAAATGTAGCATGTTGCCATAGAAATTTTAATTTCTCTCTTCTTGAAAGAGAAAAATCCAAAGGACAGAATGAAATTGGATTCCGAGTAGCTCCTTTGGATGTTAATAACCATGTAGTGAAGATGCAACTGAAAGCCCACTGGAAGCAGAACACATGGCTGGTTAATTTTCAAAACTTTTACTTCAGGGGCACATAGGTGGCTCAGTCGGTTGAGCGTCTGACTTCTGCTCAGGTCATGATCTCATGGTTCGGAAGTTCGAGCCTCATGTCAGGCTCTGTGCTGACAGCTCCGAGCCTGGATCCTGCTTCAAATTCTCTCTCTCTCTCTCTCTCTCTCTGCCCTTCTCCCACTCATGCTCACTCGCTCTCTCTCAAATAAAAAAAAGTTTTTTTTATTTAAAAAACTTTTACTTCAAAATTTTACAGAAGAACAATGCTTCTTAAAGCACTGACCATAGTAATGTATCAAAGTTTAACTGGCATTAAATTATTTCTTCGTGTAACAGCCTGTCTTTGAAATGAAGAAAGTATTTTAGCTTAGTTCCATTTTTCAAATATGCTTGAATGGGCTTAACTCAGTCTCTCTAAGGGGAAAAAAAAAATCTCCAGGATGAGACCAAAATCGAAAATTTCGAACTAAGAATTTTTCAAAAAGTTTTGAGTGAATGAAACCAGGAATTCACTAATAGACTTGCATTACACGTTATGTTAAAATCAAGCTACTGTAAACATCAAAACAATTTTGCTCATATACATGAATTGTGTTAATATGTTTCTTCTTGATTGAGAATGTGCTTCAGTCACTGAAGTTATTGCTTGAAGTGTGTGAAGTTGTATCTTTTAGCAGGCTTCCCTGGAAAACCTGGGAAACAGGGGACTTAGGTTATCTGTAAAAGAATACAGCAACCAACACCACCTTCTATTGGTGGAGAAACCAATCAATTTTCTGCCTCACCACAAGTAAGAATTTAAGGGAACAATGCAGGCTATTGAGAAAGATGACCCTTAATACTACAAAATGATTTGTCTATGAAAGTATTATGTTCAAGGTTTGACTTTACTTTTTGAAGCCCTAGAAACATATGACATGAATCACTGCCAGATACACCCATTGGTTTATTTTATGTGTATGTATTCTGTTTACATTTTTGTTTTGGGGATGTAGAGTCTTCTGCAACTGACATTTGTTATCCAAATCTGTGTGTCCAGTGTATTTCACTGTCCCCAGTAACACCCTCATGAGGACAGGACAGGAATCTTGTCTATATCAAGAAAGATGCTTAGCGTATAGTATCTGCTCAGTAAATATTTGTTGAATGAATAAGAGACAGAAGACAGTAGGGTAAATTCTGTACTCCTTATCACATCCTACAAGACTTTCTTTCATTTGGCTTATTTATTAAATACACATCCCTTCTCATCCTAGCCGTGAAGCATACCCAGCCACTTCGTTTTAAACTATTTACAGTTTCTATACTTCTGTCCTTTTGCTCATATTGATCCTTGTGCCTAATGTGCCCTTCCCTACTTTGTCTCCCTGGACAGTACCTAAATAGGAATCTGAGTTTCTTGTTTTTTGGTTTTTTTTTTTTTATGTTTATTCATTTTTTAGAGAGTGTGAGCAGGAGAGGGACAGAGAGAGAGCAGGGAAGACAGAGGATCTGAAGCTGGCTCTGCACTGACAGTAGAGATCCCCTTGCAGGGCTTGAACTCATGAACCGTGAGATCATGACCTGAGCCGAAGTCAGACATTTAACCAACTGAGCCACCCAGGCATCCCAGGAATCTGTGTTTTTAAGCTCAGCTAAGACATCATTTCTTCTATGCATCCTTTCCTGAAACCCCAGGCAGAATGTGCTGCTCCCTCTTTAGGGTTTTTGTATTACCTGTAACACTTACACTTACTTGTTTTCATATCTGTCTTCCCATTTTAAGCTTTCTGTCTGTTGAAGACATGAGCTATATAATTTTCATCTTAAAATTAGCACCACATCAACAAGTACCACTTGCTCAGGAACTTAAACGAGTGAGTGAATTCTAGTGAGTTCTGCATTAGTTTACTAGTTTGTATTTCATATTTGAGATTCTTATTTCTCCAACTACAAAAGATCCTTCACTGCCAGAACCATGTCTTATATTTCTAAAGTGCCTAGCAGAATACTACATGTATAGAGAATGTTTACTATATACTTAGCTGATTATTTATTTGGCAATCCAAGACAATTTTCTCAGTGCCATTCAGTAGCTTTGGATAATCTGACTATTGATGTCAGGAACCCTTCAGACTCATCCTGAGCCATAATCCTATAATCTACAACCTCCTGGCCTATAGAAATATAATCTTATTTATAAGATTTATTTATAAGAGTTCCTGGAATTTCTTTTTTTTTACTCACTGGTTTTGGTTTATGTATCCTGAAGCTCTGTTATTGAGTGCATATACATTAACGATTATTATATCTTCTTGATGAATTGATTCTTTTATCATTGTATGTCTTTCTTGAAATCTGATGGTATTCCATGTGCTTTGCCTGATATTAACATAACCGTTCTAACTTTTTTTAGGTTAGTGCGTGCATGGTATATCTTTTACCATATATTTGCTTTTAAGCTGTCTATGTCTTTATATGTGAAATGAGTTTCTTGTCACAGGTATATACTGTCTAGTATATATCCCACCAACCCAGAGGGCACAGGTCTAGGGGGAAGGGCTGTCTCTTCCTCCTTGGTTCCAGAGGGCAAGGCTACCTCCTAGGTTTCAATAGGCTAGGCTATCACCCAGGGCCAGAGGGGTGGAGTTGCCACCCCAGTGGGCCTGGAGCACAGAGCATCCAGCCAGAGAGGATTATTCTCAAGCCTTAAAATCTAGTGGAATTTGCCCTGTGAGGTTTTGAATTTGCTTGGGACCCATGATCCCTTCTGGAATAGGATTGGCTAGCCTATGCCTGTCCCACCATTGTATTTTAGAAGTAGATAATTTGGTTTCAACAGGTTCACATCTACAGAGGAATTTTTGCCTCAAGGTGAATCATACCTTGAGTCTTTTCCACATTTGATTTAGATAATATTTAGATGAGATTTGCAGTTTAGAGTTGAGGCTGAACTGAGTTAAGACTTTTGGGCTGTTGGGGGATGCCCAGCTGGCTCAGTCAGAGGAGTGTGCAACTCTTGATCTTGGGGTTATAGATTTGAGCTCCAGGTTGGGTATAGAGATTACTTAAAAATAAAATCTTAAAAAAAAAAAAAAGGACTTTTGGGCTATTGGGATGGGGGTAAATGTGTTTTGCATGTGAGAAACACATGGAGGTGGGGTATTACGGGCTGAATTATGTCCCCTCAAATTTTTATATTGAAACCCAAACTCCAAGAATGTGACTGTATTTGGAGACAGAGCCTTCAATGAAGTAATTAAGTTGAAATTAGACTGAG